GCATTAGAGTACATTTAGATGGTTGGGAGCCACCATGTGGTTGCTGGGAATTGAACTCAAAACTTCTGGAAGAGCAATCAGTGCTCTTAACCTCTCCAGGCCCCTATTAAATTCTTTAGGAGTCATTTTGGAGCTGGAGGAATGGCTCAGCAGCTAAAAATATGCCCCTAAAAAAAAAAAAAACAAAATAATGCTGGGTGGTGGTGGCAGCACTCAGGAGGTAGAGGCAGGCAGATGTCCGAGTTCGAGGGTAGCCTGGTCTACAGTCTTACTGCATTAATAGTGCATTAAGAAGTGGAAACACAAGCTTCCATTAATTTGACCAAGAGTGAACCAACCAAGAGTGAACCAAAATGGTTTTGCTGATTTTTTTGAGACAGGGTTTCTCTGGGTAGCCCTGGCTATCCTGGACTCACTTTGCAGAAGAGGCTGGCCTTGAACTCAGATCTGACTGCCTCTGCCTCAAGTGCTGGGATTACGAGCATGTATCACCACACCCATGAATTGTCCACTTGTATCTTTTGTCCATGGTCACCGGCTTGTCTGTTATCAGCTTGTTGTGTCTGCCTGATCTCTTAACTGTGTGTATGTCTGTCCTATGTCTCCCTAGCCTAACAAAGGGCTATGCTCTCTATTGAACATCAGAGACACCATGGCCTTCTTTACGGAAACTTTCAAGTTTCACAAGGTAAGTTACATTACTGCTCCCAATGACTCAGAACCACACACTTCAGTGTTTAATAGTGATTCTAAATTCTAACTATACATTTCTGAGGGTGTGCAGCATGTTCCCCTTTAAGGCCCAGAAACCTCTGATGAGGCCTACAGCCACCCCTACAAGAACCTGCTGCATTGCCAATCTTCTGATAAACCACTTGTAAATCAGGTAGCACCAGTACTAATGACAAGAAGCTAGCAGAACACAGCTGAAGTCAATCTTATAAAAGGCACAGACTCCAAAGCCAGCTCCTGGGTCCTGTCCTGTCCTCCTAGACCACCCAAACACTGTGCAAAGCTAGAGGTAATCTGCAGGCTGGCACTGCTGCAATGAAATAGACAAAGTAGTGTAGCAGAAGCAGCTATTACCCAGGAAGAGCAACACTGGCTGCTGACCCCTAACTCCATTGTGTCCCAGCCACAGAATGCTGACACCCAAACGGCAGGTACTCACTCTTCCATGCATCATAATCAAGACATACCTAGACACCCATCTCCCAGTTCATTCTAGGTTCTTGATATCAGAGAGGGGGGGGGGGCCTCTCCTGTTATTACAAAAAGTTCCAAAGATAATGGGTGAGTTTCAGGATATATTTCCCCAAAACTGGTTTTTCTGTGTATCCCAGGCTGTCCCAGAACTGGCACTGTAGACCACCAGGCTGACCTCTAACTCACAGAAATCACCCTGCACGTGCCTCTGTCTCGCATGTCCTGGGATTAAAGGCATGTGCCACCACCACTGAGCTGAAGGGAGGCTTGTTGTATATTAATCTTTCGAAAATGAGCCTATCACAGAACATGCCATCAGTGGGCAGGAGAGATGACCCTGCAGTTAAAACATTTGGTATTCTCCCCGATGGTAAGTTTGGTTCCCAGGCCCTGAAGCAACCCTCTCACCACCTATAACTGCAGCTCCAAAAAAAAAAGACATCCTCTTCCCATCTCCATGAGAGCCTGCACTTATATGTACAAACTGACAGAAACACATAATCAAAACCAATTCCTGGGGCTGAAAGAAGGACCGGCAGCTATAGTACTTGCTCTTCTGGAGGATGCAGTTTTCATTCTCAGGATCCACAGTTTGCAACTATCTGTAACTCCTAGTTTCCAAACGCACTAGACATGCATAGTACATACATATGTACAAACATACACATAAGCAAAACATACATAAGGTTGTTTTTTTTTTTTTTTACTTTTAAGCCCACTGTTACTCTAAAAGTATACAGCTACATAAATGACAATTAGTTGTACAATTATATGTAATTTTTTTTTTAAATCAAGAATAGGAGCTAGATAGCTTCACAGTCAAAACCACTGGCTAATCTTCCAGAGGCCCAGAACTGAATTCTCAGCATAAGTATGGTCACTCACAACTGTCTGTAATTCTAATTCCAAGGTATCTAAGCTAATGCCCTCTTCTGGCCTCCTCAGGCACTGCATACGCATGGTGCACAAGCACACATGCAGACACTCACACATAAAACTAAAATAAAATCAACAATGGCTAGAGGTAGTCGCAAGCCAGGCTCTGCAGCTGAAGGGCTGCCAAGCTTATAGTAGGCACTGGTTTATGCCTCAGCACTGAAAACAGTTTAAAATAAATAAAAATACTAAAAACGAACCTGAAACTTGCCAAGCCAGGAATAGATGGTAAAAACCACCCCAGACAGTATCACAAGCATCCCGCCCCCAACCCAGGTCTTAAAAAAGTGAGGAGGGATGGCAGAACACTCATTTAATCCCAGTGCTCAGAAGGCTAAGATGGGGAGGTCTGGAAGTTCTAGGCCAGCCTGGTCTACAAGTTTCTGTCCATCCCTGTCTAAAAAGAAATACACGTGAATACATGTAATCAGTGCTGCTGGAGAGACTGTTCAGCTCCCCCATGAGACCTGGGTTCAAATTCCAGCAGTTCACTCTCAGCATCCACACAGCAACACAACAAGCATACATTTAATGCACAAATATGAATGCAAGGAAAACATCCATAAACATGAACAGTAATTTTAAAAAAAGAAAAGGAAAATCAACCTAGAAATGCTTGAAGGGAGCTGCCAGTCTCGAAATACTAAACTTACTATAAGGTATACTTGGAATAGAAATAAACCCTAAAAAACAAAGTTATTAAAATAAAACCTAGCCCAACAAGATGGCTCAACAGGTAAAGGTAACTGAGTTCAACCCGCAGGATCCCTCCATGCTGCCCCGACTCCGACTCCCCCTCCCCTCCACACAGTGAACATAATACAAACTCACACTAAAAATGTAGTACTTTTAAGAATAAAAACATGGTACATTTTTTATAGCAAATAAAAACATTTGCTAGAACTTAGCAAATAATGTTGGCAACAAGCTTATGAAAGAGCCAGTAAGATGGCTCAGCAGTTGAAGGAATTTGCTGTCACACCCTACTACACAGGTTGGGTTCCTAGGTCCCACATGTTGAAAAGAATCATGTATGCTGTGCACGTGCAACCTAAACATACAGACATGTATATACACAATCACAAATAACGTAACTAGGAAAACAGCAGGGCAAGCCCTTAATCCCAGCACTTGGGAAGCAAAAGCAAGCAGACCTGAGGCTAGCCTGGTCTACAGAACAAGTTCCAGGATAGCCAGGACTACACAGAGAAACCCTTGGGGGTGGGGACATCATCACAATAACAATGTGACTTTTTTTTTCCTAAGACCATAGTTTGTCAACCAGAGTTCAATCACATAATGGAAAACAATGATGTTTTTATTTTTACATGTATACAGTGCACATGGGGAAACATTCATGATTCTTTTAGAAAACTTTTGAGAAAGGTATATTTAACAATCCCCAGTGTTTCCCCCCCAACCCCAAACAAGTTCTCATATCAGTGTCCTGCGGAGATTGAGGTTACCTAGTCAAAGAAACCCAGTCTCAAAAACACAACAGAGGCTGGTAATGATGGGACACACCTTTAATCTCTGAGTTTGAAGACAGCCTGGTCTACATACATAGTGAGACCCTGTCTCAAAACAAAACACAACAATGGGGGGATGACAATGGGTGCCAGCACTTGCAGGTAAGGGTAGATTAAGACCCTCTCTCTCCCATCACTATCTGCCAAAAAAAAAAAAAAAGTGGAAGAGATATGATATTTCTTAGAGTACACACGCATCTTAATGAACAAAACTAGAGTTGCTGCCAAGACACTTATCCCACTGTACTTCAAGCACCTCAACACCATAGAATACCCCACACTTTAGCAGTGCAGGCTGAGAACTTTGGTGTATCATCAGCTACATACTGCTATTGAAATCTGCCCCAGTAGGGCGTGGTGATGCCAGCCTTTAATCCCAGCAGTCAGGAGGCAGGCGGATCTACAAAAGTCTAAGACTGTTGGGGCTGTTTCACAGAGAAACGGTGTTTTGAAAAACAGAAGTGAGAAAGAGAGGAGAGAGAGGAAGGGGAGAAGAGAGAGAGCTGCTGAACTAACTCCACAAAGCAAGCCATTTAATATTACTGTTTGTTGCAGAGCCTAACAGACTAAGCTCCAGAATCAATTCTAAATTTTTGTTGTTAAAAAGGGGGGGGGAGAGAATAATCCCTTACTTCACTGACTTATACCAAGTTGGAGACACAGAAGGAAATGAGTGAAGCAAAGAGAAATTCACAGAACACAGGTGCTGCCTAAGCAATGACTGCACACAAGTAGTCAGCTCTTGAGCATAATAACCACAAGCTTTCAGCTGGTTTTCTACGACCAAAAAAAAAAAAAAAAAAAAAACACACTAAAAAAGAGAGACCTTTCTTTTCAAGGTGACAAAGGGACCTTGTTATACAGTAAGTCACTGATGAATAACATCATCACAATACAACTATTCGAACCCTTCCAAGTGGGATCCACCCTGGGGATTCAGCTCTCTGGAAACCAGATTTAACAAGTGAGTATGTGTCTACACAGCCAGCAATAGACGAACGAAATAGGATGACAGCTCTCAAGTGTAAACATCAAGCAATGGTCCAATGGTCCTCCTCCACCACCAAGCATCTCTGGGCTCTAGCACACCTTGTGTTGTATGACCTCCAATGCTTCAAGCTCCAACATCCCAGTGTACTGCACATGTGCAAAACTAAAACTGAGGCCAAGTACTTGCTGTCTCCTTTCCTTTCCCACATCCTTAGGCAACACCAGAGGTTCTGTATCATCCTGTTTCCAAGTACCTAGCTTGATGTGACCACAAACCATTTGTGAAACAAAGCAAAAGGCACCACTGTCTTCAGATTTGCAGTGTGTCTGCATACCCACCTTATCCAAAGGCATAGGAGTCACAGCCAGCTCACTAACATGTTCAAGTGCTTCATCCTCTGCTGTCTTTAGACCATTCACTTTGTGACAAAACTTTTCTTCTCTCCTATGAGAATTTTTAAAATAGCTATTCCTTATTCCAGGAGTATCAGGGTCCTTACAACAATCAGCAAGAATGTACACACCACTCATTCTTAAATGATGGGGCAGGGGCTTAAATGCAAATTTAGTTTAATAGTACATAACTTTGAGCTGGAATTGTTTTAACCAAAGGTGGCTTTTGCAGACTGAAAAAGAAGATTTTTACTGGCTCTTCAATCATAATGGTCCATGCACACTGCCCTGAGTGATCTTCTGTAAAATAATATCCAAAAATCTACAACAGTTTTCAATGAAAACTTTTAGACTAGTTCCTTTCCTCACACAAATGTTATAATAAAATTTGTAATAACAAAGCATGGTGGCGCATGCCTATACCATGCCTTTACCCAGCACTTGAGGTAAAGGCAAGAAGGTCTAAAGAGTTCAAGACTAGACTGAGCTGCTTAGAAAATATTTCAAAAATGTAAGGATGAGGGGATATGAGTGGTAAACTGCATGTTTAGCATTCATCAAGCCCTGAGAGTTCAATCCCCAGCACTGGCCCACCACCCCAAACCCCACCCCCACCAATCACACTAAATTGTTGCTCATTAGTTACAGGTCTTCATATATCTCTGCATACACTGAAGACAGGTCTGTATGTAACTTCCACTCAGAATCCACCTTAATGATAGAAGAAAGCACCAATAAAGTGACACTAGAAGCCCAGGCACAAAATCACACAGACACAAGAAGGCTGCAGACCCCACTCATGAAAGAATGCACCAAACACATTCGCATTTATTTTCTTTTTTTTTTAAGCAAATGACAAAAGACCCAAATTAACCAGCTTTTTTAAACCTAAGCTTAACATTACATATTTAAACAATTGTCAGAACTGACAAAGTTGCCAGCATCCATGCACAACTAGAAAACATCCTTAATTTACACTAAACCAGAAATGTATTACCATTGATGCAGTAATAGCTTTCGTCACTAAATACTGAAAATAAAATTGAAATATTTCTGTAGAAGATTCATCTGGCAATGTTACCATCACAGCAGGCTGACACTACGCACTCACATTTCAACACAATGGGAAGCAGATCCATGCTGGTGTGAAAAACAGTCTTGTCCTAGCACTACTCAAGAGTCACAGGGCTCACCTCAGATTACGTTTTGTTTAAATCAAAGTGCATACAGAGATTACAACAATTTTAAAGACAAAAAAAAAAAAAAAAAAAAAAGGTCCTATTTTGTGGTTCCCAACAACAAACTCAGAAATCTATGACAAATAGGGGCTTTGATGAGCTGTTTTATAAATACTTTAGATTAGGTACAGTTACACAGAAAGTTGAGTTCGTTTGAAATCTTAAAAAAAAAAAAAGTTCCTGTTATTCCTCAAATGGTGCTTGTTATGGTTTAACATTTCAGTTAAATGCGTGCGTTGAATTACTTGTTATCCAAGCGTAGCAGGTGCTCCTTACCATTTATTGTCAAGGACTTTAACTGTCCATCTTCTTCAACTTCTACTCTTTCTTGACCATTCTCCACAATTCTGTAAGAGATGGTTGATTAAGAGACCTCTCTTCAATGGGGATGTACGTATCATTGAGTTTCTCTAGCAAACTTATAGCCCTAGGCTGAGTACTTAGAACCACAAAACTTTTTATAATATTCTCAAATGTTTGAGCATTTCTACAACAGGCCCATGAAAACTGTATCAAGAGTTCTTTCTAAAATTCCTACCCTATCAAAACTAAGGTCAGACTCAAATACATGAGATGTTACTAATCACAAAGAGTAAGGCTGGGGCTGGGTGTGACTAAGTGGCTCAGGGCCACTTTCCCTATGCAACACTGACAATGCCAAAGCAGCTCATTGCACATGACCACATATTGGCATGCATCAACGTAAAATTAAGAAAATATTCAAACAAAAGGCGTTAAAACTTTAGCTGATTGAGAAATTAAGCACACAGCTGATACTTCAGCTGCAGAAGATGTGCTACGCAAGCACATGAAACCATTGTACCCTACTAATAAGAACAAACTACTTACTAAGCCACAGGTGATATGCATGACTATAACCTAGCACTAGAAAGACAGGCAGAATTAGGGGGTTCAAGGTCCTCTAGATCTAGCATGTCTCAAAAACATAAATAAAAGCTTTAAGTGATGATAATAATAATAAAAATACTCAAGGCTGGAGATAGCTTAGCTCAGTTTGCAGGACGCTTGTCTAAAATGGGCAAGGTCCTGCAGTTCAAGCCCCAAAACAATAGTGCCACAAAGCTGTGACCACAGTACTGTAATCCCAGGAGGCAGAAGAATCAACAACGTTGCCATGGGTGTGGTGGCACATGACTCTAACCCCAGCAACTGGGCCACAGAGGCGGCAGGTCTCTGAGTCCAGGGGCAGCCTGGGCCACAGAGCAGGTTCCAGTATAGCTAGGGCTTCACAGAGAAACTCTGCACAGAGAAAATAAATAAATTCTAGATCTTGGATGAGGTGGATCTCTGTATCTCTGTAAACTGGAGGCCAGACTAATCTAAGTGAAAGGGAATTCCTCATCTAACTGAGTTTACTGCCTCAGAAGAAATAAATTAATTTAAGAAAAATACCTCTTTGTAGTGATTTTTTTGCCGTTAATAATCTTAGTTGAAGTTGATATTGATTTGAAGTTGCCCATTCCACTGCCACCATATGACGCTGAAGAGAATGAAGTAAGACCCCCATGACCTATTGACCCAAACGAAGAGAAGCCTATAAAGAAACAAAAAATACAGTTAAAGGCTGCATACTCCCAAGTTTCATGCAAAACTTACTAGGTCCAAAATTTATAAGCCTCAAAGAGGGCCAGTGAGATGACAAAGTGGGTTAAGGTACCAGCTGTCAAGCCTGAATTTGATCCACCCACATGGTAGAAGTGACTACGAAAGTCCTCTCTGCCTCCATGCTCACCAAGTGGTCCCCAAGTGCCCATGCATACACTCAAAAATGCAGAAACACACAATTTTAAGCTTTTTTTTTTTATCCAAAAGCTGCCTCAAAGAGCCATATGTGAAGACCTTGATGTAGCACATGACTTTAATCCCAGCATGTGGGAGAATGAAGCGGGAGGTGGATACCTGTGAGCTCAGGATCATCCTAGAGATTGTGTGTGTGTGTGTGTGTGTGTGTGTGTGTGTGTCTGTGTGTGTTTCAAGGGGAGATGAGGACACAATATGTCAGTGAACAGCATGGCCATCATCAGAAAGAGGTATAGATACTTTTGTTTTTAAGATTTATTTATTCATTATGTATACAGTCGTCTGCCTGCATGTACGCCTGCAGGCCAGAAGAGGGCACCAGTTCTCACTATAGATGGTTATGAACCACCATGTGATTCCTGGGAATTGAACTTAAAACCTCTGGAAGAGGAGCCAGTGCTCTTAACCTCCGAGCCATCTCTCCAGCCAACAGCTACTTTCTTTCAGTGGTCTCTCTCCACCCTCTCAGAGGGAACAATCAGGGGGGGGTGGAGGGCGGAGAGGACAGAACAGGACCAGAAGAGAGACTGACAGGAGGGAGCTTGCCATTAAAACCTGATGGATAGTTGGGTGCTGTGGCACACACCTGTAATCCCAGCTCTTGGGAAGCAGTGGCAGGTGGATCTCTGTGAGTTTGAGGCCAGGCTGGTCTACAAAGCCTACATAGAGAAACCCTATCTCAGGGGAAGAAAAAAAAAAAGGACAACCTAGAACCCACGTAGAAGGAGAACATCAACTCTAAGAGATCTCCCTCTGGCCTCCAAACAAACACCATGGCATGCATATGGCCAAATACTCACACAGAGAATAGAAATTTTTTAAAGCTAAGAATAAGGCCCTGTTTTCTCATATTCAGATTCTGAGACCCCATGAGTACATCACAACTGGTGCACATCTTATGAGCACCTTAATGCAGGGACTACTACATACCCCACCATACCCTACTGTGGTGCCAAGGCTTTTATTTTGAGGCAGGGTTTCTTTATAAAGCCCAGACTGGGCTCAAACCTGGAATCTTCAACTGGCATCCAGTGTGGTAGTATTACACCACTACCTTCACACGGAGCTATACACTAAGAACGTCTACATCTCTCAAAATAGGAAACAGATTTCCAAGCAAAGAGACCCACTTGCCTAGCACCATACAAACTTCAAACTATGCTAACTAAAAGATCAAATCTAAGACTTTAATACCTGTATCAAAAGCAGGAAATCCACCGAACGCAGGAAATCCACCGAAGGCAGAGAAAAACGAGCCAGTACCTCGGTTTCTACTTCCTCGGTGACCTCTTCGGTTCCCCAAAAAGTCATCAAATGGGTCTTCTAGAAACAAATAAAAGAATTTGTGTTATGAAAAAATGAACCTTATTCTTTCCATAGGAGAAGGAAAATGAGTTAATGCCTTGACATAATCTATTAAGATTATCTTACAGCTCTTGGCAGGTCTGGAGCACATGCCCATCAACTCTCACTTATTGGTATCATTCAAATAAAGCTCAATTCTACAAAGCAAATGATCAAATTCCTAATAACAACAACACATCCACATATACCTTGCTCTTCATCAAGCCTTCAGGGGGCAATTCAACAAAGCTTTTTGCTCAGGACACAATCAGGCTCATTATAAAAGGTATTTTGAGGCCAATGTTGTGATTCACGCCTCTCATCTCAGTGCTCCCAGAGGCAGGCAGTTCTCTGTGAGTTCGAGGGCAGCTTAGTCTGCAGAACAAGTTCCAGGATACCCAGGGCTACATAGAAAAACCGTGTCTCAAAAAACAAAAACAAGCCAAGCATGGTGGTACATGCCTGCAATCCCAGCACTCAGGGAGGCAGAAGCATGCAGACCTCTGTGAGTTTGAATCCAGAATAGCTAAGGCTACACAGAAAAACCCTGTCTCAAAAAAAAACCCAAAAAGATGGTTTCAACCTTAGGTCAAATTTGTCATTTTTCTTTTTAATTATTTTATACACCTGTGTATCTTTGCATAGGTTGGGTGAATGTGCATACAGGTGCACACAGAGGCCAGAAGTATCGGATCACCTAGAAGCTAAAGTTAAAGGTAGCTGTGAGATGCATGACTTGAGTTCTAGAAACTGATCTTCGGCAAGGATAGTACCAATGAGCCATCTCTCCAGCCTCTGACCTTACTTGTACAGAGAGGAGGAGCTTTCTCCAAAACAATCCAGAGTCCAGCAAGGTGGCCCAAACCTTTAATCCAAGCTGGAAGACACAGATCTCTGAATGAGACAAGCCTAGTCTACAAAATTTCCAGGACAGCAGCATCACATGAATGTAACTGCTTGTGACTCCTAATAAAGTTGTCCCCAAAAGTCCCTTCTCGTTTCTATTTAATTTGATGACTCAAAATCTTTAAAAGATAGGGCTGTAGAGTTGACTGAGAGATAAATAGCACGTGTTAACTTTCACAGTTTCAGTTCCCAGCAGCCACATTGACGCTGACATACTCTGCTGGCCTCCACGGATAGGGCCCATGTGATACAGACACAGAAGTAGGCAGACACTCAAGAACACACAGGAATCTGAACCAATGTTAACCTAAGCGAAGTACTCTTGCTGAAACAAGTGACTATCACTTAATTGGAAACACGATGATGCTCCTGAAAAGGAAAGCTCAACAATGACTCAGCAAGGAATACAGGTATCAACACTGCAATCTAAAGCCAGAAGCAAATTCAGTTTTTTATTATGGCAGCTAACAACATAGGACTTATAGCTATTACCTTTTAAACCTTAGGGTTTTTATTTCCCCTAGAAAAAAGGAAAATCTGTAAAGAAACATACACTACATACTTTCAAATGTAAATGTATAGACATTGTCATAGATGCATAAATGACAAAAGGGCAAAAGAGTACAAAGCAGGAACTAATGGCTCTGTCTGAAATCAGATGAATACAACATCCTAGTATGCCCTGGTTCCTGAACAGACATCTATGTCCAGTATTTCCCAAAAGAAAGGCTATTTGTACTCCAGAAAGCCAGAGGTGGACACAGAGCAGAAGCACAAGAAGGTTATTCTGAACATGACTGATCAGGCAGCTCTGCCTAAGGGCCCTGCTAAGTGGCCCTGGCCAGCTTCTTCCAAGATCCGGCAGTGGCTGGATGACAGGAACTTGTATGTGTCCACCAAGAGGACCAACTCTACCCAACCCCAGAGCAGGTCAGCCAGGCAGACAACTGGAGTAAACTGCTGTCTGGGCTGTGACTAAGGGGTATCATCTTTAAAAAAAGAAAAAAAAAGAAACAAACCTCTCCCCCAGATTTTATTGTTAAATATGAGTGTGTGTGTGCGGGTTTCCTCACTTGGGAATAAGGCCCATAAACCAGAAGGGGCACTGGGTTATGAACTGTTTGACCTGAGCGCTGTGATCCAATACAGGACAGACCTTAAAGACTGAGCCATCTCTCCACCTTTTTCCTATTCTGTAATCACTTAAAAGATAAAGACTAAGCAACATTTCCCAGTAGCTATGAAGACTGCAAATAAAACTTGGACACATACTATGAGGCTCTCTTTATTAGCAGCCAGTAAGTCAAGTATGCATGCCACTGAAGTTTCCCAGACAGAAGACCTGCAACATGGTGACTCATGGCTCGTTTTTTTTTTTAGATTTGTTTATTTATTATTTATAAAGCATCCTGCCTACACACCAGAAGAAGGCACCACATTTCACTATAGATAGTTATGAGCCACCATGTGGTTGCTGGGAATTTAACTAAGGACCTTTAGGAAGAACAGCCAGTGTTCTTAACCTCTGTACCAGCTCTTCAGGCCCCCGTGATTCATGTTTTTATAATGCCCAAACAAAAAAACAGAAGAATCACAGGCTAGTATGGTGTTTATAACTTTAATCTTAGCACTTGAGACAGAGGAAGAGAGATCTCTGAGTTCCTGGCCAGTCAGGATTATATAGTATGATCCTATCTTTAAATATATATATTTAAAACAATCTCCAACAGCTGGGCTGAGGGTGGAGCTTAGATTCTATCCCCAGCATTTGTGAACCCAGCACCTAACACTTGGAAGAGGCAGAAGGACTAGATGTTCAAGTTTATCCTCAGCTACAAAGCTGAGTTTGAAGCCAGCCTAGTCTCTGATACCCTGTTCACCTGAATTACAAGAAGGTAAAACAAGCTATGTGATAATTCACCAACTGGGGTCAATCCACATCATCATGAAAAACCAATTTTCCACAGCTGATCTTAACCCAACCAAGCCTTTGTCATTTTTGAAATCTTTAAAAGTATATGTATGTACACAATTTGGAATGGAGATACTTACATGCTTTTATGGAGGTCACAGGACAGTTTTTCTCTCTCCTTTCACCTTTACTGTCTTTGGATGTACACAAACAAGTCATCAGGCTTGCACAACAAGTACTTTTAACAGCCAAGCCTTGCCCCAACCATGTCTTTATTTTGCAAATGTTTTATTTCCAAAAGTTTTATTTAGTGGTCTCATTTGTTGTTCTTTAAAGGGTACAAAACAATATAAAAGGACCCATTTATAGTAAACTCAAGGGTTGTAACCTGCAATTTCTCCTTATTGGTTGTTCTGGATTATTTGGGGGCTGCAGTGTAGCTAACTCAGTGGCTATTTGTTCTATCCCATGAGCCACCAAAACATCATTTTCAGTTACCATGTTCAAAGAATGAAAACAGAACAAGGGCTAAGATGCCTCAGCACATAAATACAGCTGGAGGCACAAGTGCAATCCTTGGAACTTACACTATCAAGGTAAAATGTTCTCTGACCTCCAATAGTCAACACACGTGATCACACATACTTTAGTAAGTAAAACTTTTAAAGAGGAGGCTGAAGGGGGCTGGAGAGATGGCTCAGGTTAGGAGTACTGCTTGCTCTTCCAGAAATCCTGAGTTCAATTCCCAGCAACCACAAAGTGGCTCACAACCATCTATAATGATATCTGGTACCCTCTTCTGGCATTCAGGTGTACATGTATACATAATCAATAAATCTTAAAAATAAAAAGAGGAGGCTGAAGTTGGCTCAGTAGGTCAGAGTACTGACTGCTTTTCCAGAGGACCCAGAGGGTCAAATTCCCAGCATATACATGGTAGCTCACAGCCATTCATAACTCTAGCCTTGAATCAGACTACCTCTTCTGGCCGCTGCCAGCACTAGTTATGTACCCACACACATAAAATTTAAAGGATATCTTAAGGAGAAACTTTGTGTGATTCTGTTCTCTGACACTGAAATAACCAATATTCCAGTGACTGAGAAAAATACCTAAGGGGGGGGGGGGGGGGGGGGGGGGGGGGGGAGGGAGGGGGGGGGGGAGGGAGGGAGGAAGGAAGGAAGGAAGGAAGGAAGGAAGGAAGGAAGGAAGGAAGGAAGGAAGGAAGGAAGGAAGGAAGACTGAGCAACATAAAAGTCAACAAAAGCCTGAAGGAGGTAAATATGTAATACTGATGAAATGCCCAAATTTTACATTTCACCCTAATTTCAAATCTGATGCTGCTGTGAGCCCCCTACCAGTGAAAACCCAGAGGAAAACCATGCACTCAACACAGCTCACACAACAGGGAGAATGTACTAATGACTAGTGGCCCAAACACTCCATCCATCCCCTGTGCTTCCATTATCAACTCCCAAACACAGAAGCCAAAACAGAAAAGGAAAAGGGGAAAGGGACAAGGTGGGGGATGGGGAGGGACACACATATAGAATATACAACGGGAATTTCTAAAACCTAAAACCTCTGTGACTTTAAGACCAAATTATCAATACTACGCATTAGCACAGCACAAGAGCTAGGCTTTCCAAGGCCAACCTGGGTAATTCATTGGGACCTACTTTCCCCCCAAAAACTGCTAAGCAGTTACACATGGCCCCTAATCCTAGCCCTAAAGAAGCAAAAGACTGCTATATATTCTCAGCTGGCCAAGGCCACATGGTGAAACCAGTTCTCAATAAAAAACAAACCAACCAACAAAAAAAGACAGGGCTAGAGAGATTGCTCAGTGGTTAAAAGCACTGGCTGCTCTTCCAGAGTATCTGGGTTTAATTCTTAGCACTCAAATGGTAGTTTACAACTATCTAACTCCAGTTCCAGAGATCTAACACCTTCACAGACATACATGGGGGCAAAACACCAACGTACATAAAACAAAAATAATTTTAAAAGGAAAAAGAAGAACAAAACAAAACAACAACAACAACAACAACAAAAAGCCAGCCATCCTAAAGAGACATAAAGGGCAAGCAATAATTCCACTGACTAAGAGTTAAATTTAAAGTGCTCACTCATTACAACTACTCCAGTTTTTCAAGTGGTA